GGGGTTTGTGTGGAAAAGGTTTGGGGGGGGGGGGGGGTGTGTGTGTTTGTTTTTAAAGTAGTTTTAAAGTAGTATTTTTACACATCTGAATCAGTCCTGTAAAACTGTAAAAGCTACCTTCATTAAGCTTTAGAAAAGGACAGTAGGAAGTAGATGCACTTGTACCTGACTTCCAGTACAACGTACAGTGTCACAGATCCCCCGCTTGCCAACAACAGTCTTTGTTGTGTCAGCAGCAGTCAGACTTTGATATTTCTTTAAGTTGTGTTAACTTAAGGGTTATGATGTGGTCTAAAAGCAACTTGGATGTACAGTTTTCCATTGCATAATTGTTCACTTTATACACTTGAACAGTAGTTTGTTCAAGTTTAAGATGCAGATAAGGCATCTGTGTTCCGTGCAACACCCTATCCTAGCTACTACTTATATCCAACTTTACATATGATTCTAAAAATATTTTGTGTTTAGTTAGAATTTAAGGCTGAAATATTTTTATTGACTAAACACTAAGGCTGTTGCTGTTCAGTGTTTGTACAGCAGTTTCTTAATGTTAATTTTCTGATACTTGGGTTTAAAACTTCCAGTAATTCCTGTGTATTCCTCTAGAACTTTCATATTGAAACTTGCAAGGAGGGAAAAAATTCTGTCCCTCCACACATCTTAAAAAATGAAAAGGATGAGTCCACCGTGTCAAAAGTACGGGAGAATGCAGATGGTCATGTTATCCAGACAGAGTCTCCTGTCAAAAAAGAAGACCCTCTTAAGAAAGCCATAGATGACCTGGCAGAAGAGGTTAAGAAAAGTTATTTTTAAGTTTTTTGTCTGTTTGCTTTTAAATAAATGGTCGTTAAGTTCAGAGAATGAATTACTAATTATATCACAAAATGCCTCTTGTAATCCACATACATCAAAAGTTACTTTTTGCTGTTAGATATTAATCAGGGGCACTAAGTTTTAGGGGTGACTGCCCAATTGAGTACAGCCTGAAAGCATGGAGCTTGTGCAGTTATACTTACAAATCATGGTGAAGTGAATAGCATTTTTAGAATCATGGTATGATTTTTATCACCTTATAATTTAATCTATGAACCACTGTATGTATTAAGAATTCAACAGCCCTTTCTGTTTTTGAAGTTATGCAGGTTAAATATTTAACAGGGGCTTGGAAATTTTAAGTAGGAATTTTAAGTATTTCCTGGTTTAGGTATTTTATTTAAGATTTAATTGAAAAATTCCTTCACAAGAGTTACTGTAAAATGTGCCACAGCTTGATTTGGAAAGTAAATTACATCTTTCACTGAAATGGTACAGTTATTTTTCATCTACTAAAATGTAAATACAGCTCTAATCTTTATGCTTATGCAGTTCTTGTCTTAAATATATTCTATCTGAGCACATTTTCTCATTTTAAATGTGGATTCATAGATGATGAGGGAGTTTAGAATTGAAATCTGATTTCAGTCCGCTATCTTCATTTTGTGTTTGTAGGACGCTGTGGTTGTTGTGAGCCTAAGTAGTAAATGACAGAAGAAGAGTCAGGAGATTCCAGACTCTTCAGATCACTAGGAGAATGGGATTTATTTTGAGCCCTAACTGACAAATGAAGAGGCTATAATTTTGCTTTCTCAGGATTCACTCTTCTCTAATATGCTACAGGTTGCAAAAACAGTGATAGCTGAGTCATCTCAGAGTGGTGAAGGAAAAGCAATGGGATTAGAAGATCTCATTAGCTCACTGGCTTTTAACCCATTTCTAACAAGGAAACAAATTCCCAGAACGCCAGAAAATCTGCGTAAGTCTTAAAGTTTGTTTTTATAATACTCATTGTTTAGAAATGTGATTAGTTCATTGACGTTGTGCCTGTCACACCAGAACAAAACCATAATTATTTCAGTGAAGCTGCAAGTTATCCTAATGGCTCACTCTGTAACACAACATGGTGGGCCTAATATGATGTGAATACTGTGAATTTGATTTAACGTAGGGTTGGGGTTTTTTTTCCCTCTGTGTGGAATCTGCTTTGTGTTGAGGAAGAAAACTAAGCATAAACAATGTAAAGCAGCTATACATCTTTCTTGGATTGCTTATGTTGCTGAAGGGATGGAAGAAAAAAGATTGATTGAGAGTATGATACTAAAATTTTACCTTGATTTCTTCCATTTAGTTACTGAAATTAGAAGTTCATGGAGAAAAGCTATTCAGACTGAGGGTTCATCAGACACAGAGCTGGCCGCAACTGAAGTAGTGACAGAAGATGCTCCCATGGATGTTAGACCTATAATGCAGAAGGCTGCAGACTCTAGTTTCCTGTCCTCTATCCTTGCATCTCCTGTACCTGACTTTGATCCTCCCTTGTCAGAAAGGAAGTCCCAATTAAGTTCTACAGAAGTTAGACCTCAAAAGGAGATAAGTCATAACATTGAATCTCTAATTTCAGAAACTTCTAGAATGCGAGAGAGTGAGGGAACTGAAGAACAGGAATTAAAATATATTGTTTTAAACAAAAGTTCTGTAGAAGATCCAGAAGAACAGACTTTTCAATATGTAAAGAAGAGCATGAATAATGCAGATACTTGTTCAGAAAACAATAGTAGAACAAATGTTCTACCTTCAGACCACTCTCTGGGATCCTTAATGGATGGGACACTGCCCTGCAATGTACCTCCATTGTTAAGTTCTATCAGATGTGAAGTTTCCTCTCTGAGTATATTGGATGAGTCATTTCCAGAAGAACTTGTTAGCATGGATCCTAACAGATCTGCAAGCTTAGAGCCTGATTGTGCTGTAATAGACAGCACATATGTAACAGGTGGCTCAGAAAATGAGGATATTAAAAAATCAAAGCTAGACCTACAGTCCCTCTTCAACACATATAAAGCGCTGGAAGAGACTACATCTAGAAGTGAAGAGGAGCTGCATCAAGCGCATAAAGGAGGTGAATCTGTAAGTTGTAGACCAGACCTAAGTCTTGCACCAGAAGAAAGAGATGAATTGTATGGTCCTCTAGAACTCTTCTGCTTGGGAGAGGAATTTACCAAGATGCCATCGCCAGTATCTCTTGATGAAAGAAAATATTCCCTGTCATCTTTGCTGGTGTCCTGTCAACATCTGGAGGAAATGGCATCAATGGTACATGAAATCCCATTAGACTTAATACATAAATTGAAGGGTAAGTGTCCATGTACTTTAGCAATAAGATTTTGCTCATTCTGCCACTGGATATACTATCATAAATAACCTACTCTGAAAATACACATCTAAACTCAGCTGTGGAAGCATAGGGAGACAGATTATTTGTATGCTTATTCCTTATGGAAGATGAGACATAAAAGCAAGGGAAACGTGCTTCCTTTAGTTATATCAGTATCTTGCAAGTAGGAGGAAAGGTGCTCATCGGACTTTTGGAGGTAATCTGCAGCTGTTTAAAAAAACACCTTAAGGTGCATTAGCAATGGAGTGATGTGAAGGTAAATTTTGAGAATTCACAGAGTTAGTTTGAAACAGTGTTTACTCTGAACAAATTTGGCTATATAGAAATGTGTAGTAGGTAATAGGGACTTTTGTGAGGTCAGTCAGGTGTTCATAGTCTGTAATACTTTATTAATATACCTTTTATTCTGAAATATCCTGCATTCCAGCCTGCCTGGCCCCTCACCCCATTTCCCACAGAAGTATCAACCTTTTTTAACCACTAGTGCAGTGTTCAGTTACATGTGAAGTCAATTTTTGAAATGTGTTAATAAAAATGAGCCAGTAATGGTGATATGGAAGACCTTCACCAAAACAGGTGGTATTCAATAGAGTACTGAGAATTTAACACAAAAAGCTAGTCTCAAAATGTAGTGAGATTTATACTTTGTGCAAAGGCTTGCTGCACTTGAGCTTTTGCTTAAAATTATGGCTGTACTGATAGAAGATGATTTTACCTTACTTGGAACAATTACCAAAATTAGAAGTACCATTTCATAGATACTTTTAAAATATATATCAGACATTTTTGGAGCAGTATTTCTGTCAAGGAGTTTAAGATTATTGAGTGCTAAGTAATATACTTTTTCTTCCAGATAAAGAGCAATTGAATGAGAAGTGGGGCACGAAGGAAACATCGTCATGATAGAATTTGTAAAGCAGAAGAATAACCATAGTAGTACAATTATGATTCACTTGATCATGTAACATTTTGTCCAAGGACTGCCTAGATGGAGAAGCTGAACTTCTATTTTTTTCTAGAGACTGTATTCCACTATCCTTGTTTACGAGTGTCAGTTGCCTGCTCTGGTTCTTCCAGTTTCATTTCCATAGTAGCATTTTATGTGTAGACCATCACTTATGCTTAAAAAGGAATATGACTTTTGTATATATTTTTTTTAAAATAGATGTTGAATAGATGGTATAATCCTAGAAAACGGAAAAGTCCCAAATGAGGAAATAGTGAAATCTTTGGTGTCTCTGTCTTCCCCCTAACTTGCATCTAACCTCCCACTCCTCTACCCCCCAAAAAAAATCCACCCAAATTTTACTTGGTGCTCTGTGTTCATTGGATTCTTCACTCTTACTGAGACTTCTGGTCAATATTGCCATAAGTTCTACCTGTTGATAGAGGCTGCTCTGTTTTCACTTCCACTGAAGTGCCTATTTTCTTACACGTATTATTAAATACATGTTTTACATTGAAGTTGTAAGAATGAATGACTTGTGGTAGTGTTAATACCATTTGGGGGATTGTGATGGAAGTAACTGATAATACAGCTTGTGGTGGGGTAGGAATGTAAAAATTGATGTTCCAGCAGATAAACTTACTGTAAAAGTACAGCCCCCTAACCTGATGTGTTTAGAGATTTGAAGCATTGCTACGTAAAGTTGATTTTCTGTTCTGGTATATGATTCTATGATTCTATAATATCTTTTTCTTCATTTCTTCGAAAACAGTTGCAAATAGGATTTAAGAAGATTCTCTGCCTGTATTTGACATCTTCCTTATATTGCACAATTTGACAAGCTTTATGAAGAGAGATTTTACGTGGCTAGTTGGGCAAGCTATAATGTGGCTGCTAACATGTTCATAGAATCATAGACGGGTTTGGGTTGGAAGGGAC